AGGTGGGTGGTGGGTGAGTAGGTGGGTGGGTGAGTAGGTGGGTGGGTGAGTAGGTGGGTGGGTGAGGAGGGGTGGGTGGGTGAGTAGGTGGGTGGGTGAGTAGGGTGGTGGTGAGTAGGTGGTGAGTAGTGGGTGGGTGAGTAGGTGGGTGGTGTGTGGGTGAGAGGTGGGTGGGTGAGTAGGTGTGGGGTGAGGTGTGGGGTGAGTAGGTGGGTGGTGTGGGTGGAGAGGTGGGTGGGTGTGGGTGAGAGGGTGGGTGTGTGGGTGAGTAGGTGGGTGGTGTGGGGCAGGTGGGTGTGTGGGTGAGTAGGTGGGTGGTGTGGGGTGAGTAGGTGGGTGGTGTGTGGGTGAGTAGGTGGGTGGCGATGGTATACTTAACATGGGTGGCATCGAATCCAATAACATCAAGGGGTGGGTGGGCAGGGTGGTGGGGGTTCTCCGAAAACCGATCGCTCGACGCCTTATTTACCCGCGTCACTATAAATTAAGGAGCAGTAAACCTCGCAGTGAAATATATCGCCTGGGGGTCACCTGAGTCCGGACTTGCGCATTAGCACTCTCTTCCTCCTCCCACCCCCTTACCACTGCCCCAACACACAAACTCACTCCCAAAGTCCCCTTCCCAAATACCCTTCTCCTCCTCCCTAACACACACACACACACACACACACACACATCCATCCCTCGTCCGTGAATTGCTGCCGACACCACAACCGCATCCAGCCCATACGAACACGAACTGATCGCTATAAGAACAACCCAGTCCCAACCATTGTAAAAATTATCAACAACTCGTAATCAACCAGTGTATTCTACCCCAGTCAATCTTACCTTTTACACTGTCACTATGTTGAAATGCCCTGTAGTATGACCTTCCCCACCTAGTTATTATATATCATATTTGTATCACTTATGTTACTTGTATATTATTTGTCACCCAAGTAACCCATTCCAATTATGTAACTGATATTTTCAGCCTGGCCATGCTTTTTTAATAAACCGTTAATTATTATTATTTTACTACACACAACACTATTCAACATCTCTCCTTGCACACAGCCACCGACCTATTTCGACACCAACGTGATTTTCCACACTTGCTTCATCTTCAGAGTTTTTTTAGAAGCAAAGGCAGATTTATACGAACCTTCAGTGGCGTTTAATTATACTTTACCGTGATGGCATGTTAGGGCGGGGAGGGGTGGTCGTCCACAGCGGGCTATTTTGGAGTTGATTTTCATTTGTTTTATGACGGGGCGTGGGGGGGGGTAATGAGGATGGGTGAGAGAGGGGGGGAGGCAGGGACGGGGTGAAGGAGGAAGGATGAAATAGAGACGGGGAGAGGAAAAGAGAGGAGAGGAGAGGAAGAGAGGGGAGAGGAAGAGGGGGAGAGGAAGAGAGAGGGGGGAGAGGAAGAGAGAGAGAGGAGAGGAAGAGAGAGGAGGGGAGAGGAGAGGGGAGGAAGAGAGAGAGAGAGAGGGAGGAAGGAGGGAGAGAGAGAGAGGGGAGAGAGAGAGAGAGAGAGAGAGAGAGAGAGAGAGAGAGAGAGAGGAGAGAGAGAGAGAGAGAGAGAGAGAGAGGGGGGGAGAGGAAGAGAGGGGAGGAAGAGAGAGAGGGAGAGAGAGAAGAGATAATGAGAAGGTCAACATGTACCGTTTATCTCGAGAACAGTAAATATCAAAGCCAACGTCCAGTGGTGTGGTTAGGTTAGGTTAAGTGAAAGTGTCTAGTTGGGGAGTCCCGTGTTACTTTTGTCTGCTAACTGGTGCTAAGGGAACGTATCTAGTTAAGGTAGAAGTCGTAGTCTAGGCATGTATATAGAGGTTAGTAGTAGTCTCAGTATGTGGTTAAGGTAGTGGTGGTGGTGGTGGTGGTGGTGGTGGTGGTGGTGGTGGTGGTGGTGGTGGTGGTGGTGGTGGTGGTGGTAGTAGTAGTAGTAGTAGTAGTAGTCCAGTATGTAGTTGAGGTAGTAGTAGTCTCCATGTGGTTAAGGTAGTGGTGGTGGTGGTGGTGGTGGTGGTGGTGAGTAGTAGCAGTAGTAGTAGTCTCAGTATGTAGTTGAGGTAGTAGTAGTAGTAGTCTCAGTATGTGGTTAAGGTAGTAGCATCAAGGGACCTCTCCACACTTCACCCTCGAGTTCTCAATCAGATTTATATGAAGTGTGGGGCTATTTACGAAGCGTTATTCTGGGGGTTGTGGCAGTTGACATTAAATACGTTCTAACTGGCTGGCTGACTGGCTGGCTGGCTGGCTGGCTGGCTGGCTGGCTGACTGGCTGACTGGCTGTTTTGGTGGGGTGAGAAAAATTACGAGGTTTCTTCATCATAGCTACACCTTTTGTGAGACCCGACAGCCGCTGGGGGTATTTCTGTAGCCTTGTTTTGTTTATGCGAGGGATACTGACGTAGTTACTTATGAAACTACCATCACCAGCGTTCTCCGTCACTATCACCATCTTTCTGCTTCACCACCATCATCACCACCATTCTCCATCATCACCACTTTTTTGGTCTAGGTAAACGCACCATTTTCTTTTATTTAATGACTTTTGTTGTTTTGAAAGTTGTTTTTCTACTTATAATAAAAACAAAAGTACATAAATTATAATGGGAATGTATTGAAAAAGTTTAGGTTCCTATATTAATGTTTTGCAAATATAATAGACTTCTAAATCGCTCCAGTAGGTTCCTATAATTTGCTATATTCGTCCATTTCCTAATACCCCACCTTGTGTCAATATATAAAACACATACAATAATTATATATCATACAAGCCCATATATAATGCCCCTATATCTGTTTCTAACCATTTGCTTATATAGTTCACTCTCAGATGGTTGATGAGAGACTTAGCTGGAGACACAAACCACATACAAGCCATTCACGGTAGTCAATAAACAGTGCGGTATCATGTATCACACTCGCCAGTCACTCACTCTCACAGCAATGAAAGAAATCTATCATGACCTTGTTTACCAACACCTGATACACTGTCACACACTATGGGGGCCTCTGGCTCTTCAAAAACACAATCTCTGGTTACTGCACAAAAGAGAGTTGTATGGACAATGACCTACTTGAAAAAAATTATCATACAAAAGAACAATTTGCTAAATTGAAATGTTAAAATTCGAGGATATTAACACCTACTGCTGTGGCCTATTTGTTTACAAATCTGTCAAACGCTTGTCTTGACAATAATTATTTCCAGTTCCAGAATAATCAGAGATACAACTTAAGGCACCCAGAGCCACTAAGACCACCCCCATGCGCTCCTCTCAGTCCCAGACCTCCATAAAATATCACGGTGTGAAGGTGTGGAACAACTTACCCCCACCCATCCCAGCAATGACTACGCTTCCTTCCTTTAAATCATCTCAAAAAATATCTGTTGTCTAAGTATTAATATTCTTGTAATACCTACTTTATATTCCTGCTTACACTGTACCACCAAAACCATTATATCATAAATTGTCATGTAGATAGAGAGAAATTACCATTGCAATAAATATATTTGCCAACTAGACATAACCCTGACAGCTCTGTCCTCCTGTTCCACCTTAATACAACTCACGTTGTACGGCTTCCCTCCCTTATCGTATTAATGTATATCAACACCACTGTAAAATACTTATATAAATGTAAAATAAATTAAAATATATACATAACGAAGTGATAACCGTGGTATCATTCTGGCATGTTCTTATTACCACCATGCTATTGTACTATTCCAGATGAGACTAAATGTTACATAATACTTCCTGAGATAAATGTACAGTATATATCAGGTGCCTCAAAGACAGCTCAGGTTCTCAACTGGCTCAGCCATGTTAATAGTTATTATTATCCACTCTGTATCTGTGTTCTTCTGGCTAAATAAACTTTTTAATTATCAATACCCTGAGCACTAGTAGCCATACCCCTGGGCACTAATAGCCATACCCCTGGGCACTAATAGCCATACCCCTGGGCACTAATAGCCATACCCTGGGCACTAGTAGCCACACCCTGGGCACTAGTAGCAAGCCTAGTACATACCCTGGCACACCTGCACTAGTAGCCATACCCCTGGGCACTAATAGCCATACCCCTGGGCACTAATAGCCATACCCCTGGGCACTAATAGCCATACCCTGGGCACTAGTAGCCACACCCTGGGCACTAGTAGCCACACCCTGGGCACTAGTAGCCATACCCCTGGGCACTAAAATATACCCCTGGGCACTAGTAGCCATACCCTCAAGCACTAGTTAGCCATACCCCCAAGCACTAGTAGAAGCACACCCCTGGGCACTAGTGCACACACCCTGGGCACTAGTATTATACCTGGGCACTAGTAGCCACACCCCTGGGCACTAGTAGCCACACCCCTGGGCAATTAGTAGCCACCCCTGGGCACTAGTGGGCTGCCACCCTGGGCACTAGTAGCCACACCCCTGGGCACTAGTAGTCAAGGCCCCCTGGGCACCAGTAGCTACACCCCCTGCACCAGTAGTTGAACACCCCCTGCCAAGCACCAGTAGCCACCCCCAGCACTAGTAGCCACACCCCAAGCAATTAGTAGAACATACCTCTGGGCACCAGGTAGCCACACCCTGGGCACCAGCAGCCGCCACCCTGGGCACTAGTAGCTGCCACCCCTGGGCACTTAAGTAGCCACACCCTGGGCACTAGTAGCCACACCCCTGGGCACTAGTAGCCATACCCCCTGGGCACTAGTACACATCCCTGGGCACTAGTAGCACACCTGGCACAGACACCCCTGGGCACTAGTAGCCACACCCCTGGGCACTAGTAACATACCCCTGCACTAGTAGCCACACCTGGGCACTGCACATACCTCAAACAGGCCACACCCCTGGGCACTAGTAGTCACACCTCAAGCACTAGTAGCCACACCCCTGGCACTAGTAGCCATACCCCTGGGCACTAGTAGCCACACCCCTGGGCACTAGTAGCCACACCCCTGGACACTAGTAGCCATACCCCTGGGTACTCACCTCCTCAAACTTGGCACAGATGAGCTTGAAGGCGGTGAAGATACTGTCGGTGTTGCCAGTGACGGTGACAATCCTCTCAGGACACGAGCCATCGCTGATGTTGATCTTCGCCCCAGACTGTAAACAACAACAGTTATTATTATCAATATTACTACTATTATTACTACTACTACGTGTCACTGTTACACACACACACACACACACACACACACACGCAGTGAGGGAATTACTACACCACATCAGCCCCCTCATAACACCACCTGTGAGGGAACTACTACATCATCAGGCCCCTCATAACACCACCTGTGAGGGAACTAGTACTCCACGTGATGCCCCTCATTACGCCATCTGTGAGGGAGTTACTACAACACATCAGCCCCCTCATAACGCCACCTGTGAGGGAACTACTACATCATCAGGCCCCTCATAACACCACCTGTGAGGGAACTAGTACTCCACGTGATGCCCCTCATAACGCCACCTGTGAGGGAACTACTACATCATCAGGCCCCTCATAACGCCATGTGAGGGAGTTACTACACTAAGTGTCTGCTGTTCAACACCTCAGCTCACATGATCTACGTGTGTAAACATTAATCTGTATGTTCATTGTATGTTCCTTCACCTTTCTCTAATGAAGGCTTTTGTTAAACTACCAATGTATGTAATAAATCATTTATGTCCAATGTATATTTTCAGCCTTCGGGCTGCAGAACTTTTTCAATAAACAGTTAATAATTATTATTATTATTATTATTATTATTATTACACACACACACACACACCATTATGTGTCACCTGGTTAACTGACGGTGAGACAGGTGTAACGTACCCTTCCCCCCCCCTCCAGACATACCCAGCGGAGGAGGAAGAGGGTGAGGAGAGGGGAAGAGGGTGAGGAGAGGGGGAAGAGAGTTAAGATGGGGGAAGAGGGTGAGGAGGGGGGGAAGAGGGTGATACTTAACATACAAGCTTAAGTAAGTGTAAAGTAACATAAACATCACTTTAACACACCAATGTTAAAAAGAAAGTGTTAAGTAGACACACCACACTTAAAACACTACATAACACACCAGGTTATCCTACACCAATTACTTTATAAAATGTTAAGTAAATACCTCACTACCACCACCAACTACCACGTTACTCTCATACCAGATTTTATCTAATTTGGCTAAGTTAACGATCTATAAGAGCTTAAATTGCCTAGTACCACGCATAACCACCCCCCCCCCATCTACAATATCCGCCATTACCCCCTCATCCTACTTACACCCCCCGCCACCCACACCTTACCTGGGCACCCCTACCCCATCACCCAACCCCCACCCCATCCCACAATTACCCCCACCTACAACCCTACCCCCCGACACACCTGGAGACAGTTTACAAGCAGATATCAGTGACTGGGGGAAGTGGTGTGTCAGAATGTGTGGTAAGTGGTATGGTGAGTGGTGTGGGTAATGGTGTGGAAGTAAAGTGGTGTGAGTGTGGTGTAGAAGTGGTGTGGGAGAAGTGGTAAGTGGTGTGGTAAGTGGTATGGGTAGTGGGTGTGGGTGAGAAGTGTGGGTAGTGGTGTAGTGTGGGTAGGTGTGTGTGGGTAATGGTGTGGGTAGTGGTGTGGGAGAATGGTGGTAGTGGTGTGGTAAGCGGTATGGGTAGTGGTGTAGAGTGGTATGGTAAGTGGTGTGGGTAGTGTGTGGGTAACAGTGTGATAAGAAGTGGTGTGGTAAGGGTGTGGTATGGTGTGGGTAGTGGTGTGGGTAGTGTGTAGAAGTGGTGTGGTGGTATGGGTAGTGGTATGGGTAGTGGTGTGGGTAGTGGTGTGGGAGAAGTGTGGTAGTAGTGGTGTGGGTAATGGTGTGATAAGAAGTGGTGTGGTAAGTGGTGTGGGTAATGGTGTGGATAGTGGTGTGGGAGAAGTGTAAGTGGTGTGGGTAGTGGTGTGGGAGAAGTGTAAGTGGTGTGGGTAGTGGTGTGGTAAGTGGTGTGGCTCCAGGGCAGACACACACAGTACCAGACAGCCATTATAAGCGGAGGAGGTAGCCGGGAGGGTCAGGAACCGGCCTGAGAGAGCGAGGCCCTCCGGCATGATCACCAGAGTCCTGTTACAACACCCTGACCTGACCTGACCTGACCTGACCTGATCCAATATTACCTTGCCTAACAAGACCTGAGAACATAAGAACTCCATCCACCCTATGTTCGAAGCCATCCAGCGTGTTCCAGTTAATGATGATGTTTGGTAACTTGTTCCACTCATCCACTACTCTATTTTCAAACCAATGTTTACCTATCTCGCGCCTAAATCTAAATTTGTCTAATTTAAAACTATTGCTGAGTTCGCTCCTGGTTGGATAGTTTGAGTACCTTTGTTATATGACTTTTGTTTAGCCCTGACTTCCATTTATACACCTCTATCATATCGCCCCTCACTCTACGTCTCTCGAGGGAGTGCAAATTAAGATGCTTTAACCTGTCTCTGTACTCAAGGTTCCTAATGCCCGGGATTAGTCTTGTCATTCTCCTCTGAATTCTTTCTAGGGATTCTATATCCATTCTGTAGTACGGTGACCAGAACTGAACCGTGTAATCCAAGTAAGGTCTCACAAGAGCAAGATATAGTTTTAGGATAACCTCGCTAGTCTTGTAACTAACACTCCTTTGTGTGAACCCAAGTACTTTGTTCACCTTGTTTCGAGCAAATACACATTGTTGACTTGGTTTATGATTCCTATTTATCATTACTCTTAAATCATTCTCAGTCGGATTTCTCTATAACAACGTTGTTCATCTGATACCTGGTTTCTCTGTTTACATCTCCTAGACCTAACCTAACCTGACCTGGTCTAACCTGACCTGGTCTAACCTAACCTGACCTTCCTGTTACAATCTCACACACTCGTACTCGACCTTCACACCTCACCTCTCACACCTCACACTACACTCTCTCAGTACACAAACTATCACCGCCTTACCCCCCCCCTACAACAAGTGAAGGGGGGGACATGGTATTTCAGTAACAAGACTTGATACATGATACTAATACCACTTTGTGTGTGTGTGTGTGTGTGTGTGTGTGTGCAGGATCTCGTCCTAACAACAGTACACATCACCAGAAAACCCGACACCTCCCACCTCCCCTCACACACCTGAATACCAACAAGCACTCCCCCACCCCACACACACCTGTACAATACTCCAGCTACCTCCCTACCACCACACACACCTGTACACACACACCTGTACAATACCCCCAGCCCCCCCCACACCTGTACAACACCCCCACACACCTGTACAATACCCCATCTACCACCCCCACCCCCTTCCAGGACTAATACTACGCCTTACTGTCAGCTGGCGCCAATGTAAACAAACAAATCATTTACGTCTCCATCACAACCCCCCACCCCCCACCCCCTTGTGTCAACTCTGACCTAACTGAATGGTAGTCTTGACGGTATTTAGGCGCCATTTTTAATATTTTTTTAAGCGTCTCCCCACCCCCTTCCTGCTCTAACTGGTGCTAAGTGAAGGTATCTAGTTAAGGTAGAGTCTTGACAATTCTTATGGTACTTTTATTCTTGTAATTTTGACCCACAGAAGTTCATTAATATCTATCGTTACATTTAATTAATTAGACATGAACTAAAACACAAAATATACTTACAAAATTAATTAGACACTGTGGTTAAGTTGTAATTAGTTTAGATTATATACAGTAACAATTTAATACCATTTCCTCTCATATGAATTATCGTAAATCAATCTACCGTCAACTCGTAATATTTAATACAATAATAACACCCAAGTTATTTTTAGGAAGTTATCATTCAAATATAGTGTTAAGTAATTTATCAATAAACTTGTATATAAACCAACTAACCTCCATATATCTACTTCCTGTCTCTTAACTAATTTATTTGTGATCTTAATCTCACATAACTTATCTTGTAGACACTTAACAGGTCTAGGCAGCTATCAAACAGGGAGGTACTACCGCCTGAGAAGAGATTGGAAGCATAATGTGTTGTCAATAGTAAGAGAAACTATTGAGATCCTACAATTGTGTGTAAATGAGGCAGAAATTCAGATCATCAACCTGGGACTTGGTCACATATAGCAGCTGGGTCTACCATTACACAACACATTATGCTTCCAATATCTTCCCTGGCGGTAGTACCTCCCTGTTTGGTAGCTGCCTACTACCTTGAGTCAATAGCAGTAACTTGTACAACACATGACAACTTCTTATACCCTTGAGAGGACTATACTCCACTCCTCTACCTCATACTAATACTCCTTCTCTCATCTCCCTCACTCTCTCTCGCCTTCCTTCCTTCCCTCACCACGTATTTTCACCTCCATTCTTCCTTCTCTCCTTCCTTCCGCCCCTCCATCTTCCTCCATCCCAAGGGCCATAACTGTGTACCACAACGCCACAACAAAGTCCAAGGGGCCATAACTGTGTACCACAACGCCACAACAAAGTCCAAGGGGCCATAACTGTGTACCACAACGCCACAACAAAGTCCAAGAGGCCATAACTGTGTACCACAACGCCACAACAAAGTCCAAGGGGCCATAACTGTGTACCACAACGCCACAACAATGTCCAAGGGGCCATAACTGTGTACCACAACACCTGACAAAGTCCAGGTCCATAACTGTGTACCACAACAAGCAACAAAGTCCAAGGCCATAACTGTGTACCACAACACCCACAACATACAACAAAAGTCAAGGAATTACTTTCAGCTTTCTGTACAAACAAAGTCAAGGGCCATAACTGTGTACCACAACATACAACAAAGTCCAAGGGGCCATAACTGTGTACCACAAAGCCACAACAAAAGTCAAGGGGCCATAACTGTGTACCACAACGCCACAACAAAGTCCAAGGGGCCATAACTGTGCACCACAACGCCACAACAAAGTCCAAGGGGCCATAACTGTGCACCACAACGCCACAACAAAGTCCAAGGGGCCATAACTGTGCACCACAACGCCACACAACATTCATTATCAAACTGGTGTCAGATCTTGTTGTAATATATCAACACATCAAGTTTGGTTAAAATACTTTGTTATTTGTTCAAGTTTTCGTGTGGACAACT